CCCATACTTTATTTTCGCAGACCAATAATAATGGAGTCAAACCTTCCTTTGACTAGGGATTCAAATAAAATGTGACTTGGAACACCCAAAAATCAATTTCAAGTGCCGACTCTGTAAATAAAATAATCCCTACTCAAATTTGTCACTTTGATTGAAAAAACTCTTTAACCCACGGTCCGTATATCTTTTTAAGGATAGAAAAGGGGTGTGACAAAATGCATATCCAAACACAATTTCAAAAACTCTTTTTTAACGTTTCAATCAAATTCATGTCCAAACGCTAATTAAATATTTTCCAAAAAATAAAAGCCAACATCTCCGTAAACACCCAAAGATATTTACAATTTCATCTTGCAGGAGAACTGTTTTTACCTCAAACTGACACAAAATAGATTAGTCTTCCATCAATTGCATAAATTATGCTTCTGACAATAGACCTAAGAACAGGACCGAATCATCAGCCCAGAATCAAAAGTGTTGTCACACTGCTGATGCAACTGTGCATATATCATACTCNCAAATCCTTCACCAAATTGCCCCAAATTTCAGATACAGACTCCATAAATTGCACCCAACAAAATTCAGCAACACCCAAAGTTAAAAATCTTTAAACGAAAGTCTCTCTCTCGTTATGTCTCTCTACCTGGGTTTCAAAATCGATCTCAATCCCACTCCAAAAAACTCAATAATTCAATGTGGTAAATGTTCGATTTATATATTTCGTGCTTAATTTTCGATCTATTCCTCTATTTATTCATTTGAATTTTTGAATTGGAGGCGCAAATAAAAGCAGTTTTGAACGTAGAGAAGAAGAAGTTGGAGATGTCGCCGGAACTAGGAAAATGACAACAAATATTCTTTACTTTGCTTCAAAACTTGCGCTTGGAATACCCAAAATGTCATTAAAATTATTTATTTGTCAGTTTATTTAAGCAATTTTTTTTTTGTTTGTAAAAATAGAAGTAAGAAAAATGAAAAAGAAAAGAGTACAAATTACAATTTACAAAAGATAGAAAATTTCTGACGTGGCGCTGACATGGTGCCTGACCTAACGCGCTGACATGGTGCCTGACCTAGCGCGCGTGAAAAATACTTCATATTGTGAGACTGGTATTCGTGTTTCAGGTGGTGAAATAATTCATTCCAAATATGTGTAGGGGGTAAAAGAACATCCGTTTAATTTAACTGTTCAAACCTGTTTTTTGGACAAATTTAATATGGTCTTTTATGTATTTTGCATAAAGATTTCCGTAAGAATATATGCTATCTAACCTTTTCCAAAAACTTTTTCAAAGAAAATGTAGGTGGAAATGCAAACATGAGGTGACAAGATATGCTTTAAGGTAAAACAGGAATATGCTTATTATAGTCACTCGACCAACAAGGGGCCTACTTATTCCTAGTTCAAGCATATTATCCCAAACTTAACATTTAAGTTCCAAACTACAAATTAAAGATGAAACTTGACATTGTTATTGTAAAGACTTGTTTCATTTGTCTTTTCTCTTTCTAGATTTTCCTTCTCCCGCAAGCACTGAAGCCATCCGAAGTGTAGGATTTATCATTTCTCTCTTGAAGAATTTAAGCTATATACACTACATCGTATCGAATTTTTATGGTTCACTATAATTTAATTAACATGTTACTTATTCTCTTTTAAGTTATTAATAATATGTTATCTATATTATTGCATGAACTCAAAACTCCTGAATAATCATAGTTTCTACCGCCCTGACTAAACATGGAATACTTTGACTAGTTCACAATTCCTAGAACAATCACTATGGATTCTTGAATCACTTGGCTTAGACATTATAAGAAGACTTGACCTTGTTCTCCTATTTATGTTTTCTATTTACCTCTAGCTCGTTGGAGGCCGAAGAACTGGGATGGTCATAGCTCCCACTTAAAAAGTTAACGAAGCAGTACGTAGTAATTGTAATAATTTGACAACTGAGACCTTCCAACTTTGGAATAGATATAAAAAACTTGTTTAAGTGTTCTAAATAATCATTTCAGCCCCTACACCTTTTGTGACCTAGACCATAATGGAGTAGTAACATATCTCATAACTAGTTTTTTTTTTTTTTTTTTTTTTTTTTTTTTTTTTTTTTTTTTTAACGAATAAAAGATACAAATGATTGAAATGTCAATGAATCATGGAAGAAAGGTCATTTTGCCACTCAAAATATCGGAACGATAAATGGTTCAAAATAAATCATGGCACTTAAAATACCACGTATTGTACCCAAGAAAAAAGTCTATCGAAAATTTAATTGTGGTACGGTCTCTAAGTAGGCGTTTAGACATAAAAATTGTATTTTTTTTTAAAAAAAAAGTAATATTTGAAGTTAAGTTGAAAAATGGTATATTTGAAATTTGAAATTATGTTTGGATATGCATTTCATTTGAAAAAATATTACAGTTTTGTGAGTGGAAAAAAAAAACTTTTGAAAATTTTGAAATTTTGATTTTTGAAAAACTCATTTTCAAAAAATTTTGAAAAGCTTGCAAAATTTAATGGACAAACATATTTTGTTAAAAAAAATTGAAAAAAAGGAAATTTTTTTTATGGACAAACGGTCCTAAATTTCTCTAAAAAAAAATGGTGATGTCACAACGGCATTAATTGCATTACTATTAGGGGTGTCATAATAATTGCACATACTTTTTTTTTTTGGAATTATTGATGTTATTTTGAAAAATATTTTTTTTAAAAGTATTTTTGTGAAAGCAGTTTGTGTTTGGCTAATTAATTAAAAAATACTTCTGAGCAGAAATTAGTATTTGATCAAGTTTTTAAAAGTGCTTTTAAATGTATTTTTCTCAAAAGTACTTTTCAAACAAAATGATATTGGGGAAAATATTTTTTTTTGTTTCTCCAAAATTACTTTTACTCTACTCACACTTTTTTTCTTTTTCGAAAAGCTTGATTTGCACATGGTAGTATGGGTTAAATTGGCTAAAAAAATACCCTTAATATAATGTAATATTATACGATTTGGATGAAATTTTTTATTTTGTGCCTCACACAACTGACACTAGTTGTGTGAGGCTTCTTTTTTGTGTCACAACTTTGCGATCCCGGAATTTTGTGGACCCAAATATGTAAGATATAAATCCACAAATGTGCGAGACAAAAAGAATGAAGTGAAAATCGCAATTACTGGATCCCGGAAAACCCAGCACATTTTAGTGTCATAATTTTGTGATCCCAAAATTTTGTGGACCCAAATATGTAAGATATAGATCTACAAATGTGCGAGACAAAAAGAATGCGTAAGGCACACCATAAAATCACTCCATTTTCCTCGCGATTTTCCCGAAATTAAAAGCCTCCAGTAATTGCATATCAAACAGTAAATAAAGAAACTAATTTGAACGGAATACAAGAGAAAGCTGTAGTTAGTCAAAGGAACTGCCATGGGCAAATTATAATTTCCTGGACAGTTCATTGTTACACACACATTTACATCTTCATCTTGCAAACAGAAACTTCTATTTCTATATACATAGTATAAACTCTCCCAGCGATTGCCTGATTTAAGTTTAAACTTCCACAAACCCACACCTCACTCATCGTAGAGACACTAAATGTACTAACAAAATTAAATAGAAGAGGAGAAATATTTACAGCAAAATGTACTAAGCATATAATATTAGGCCAAATAGTCAGCCGGAAAGAGATAGACTATTTGGGTCCCCAGAAGATAAGATGCATAATTTTTTCAGTCTTTTCCGCCTCCCTAACTCTGCGCTTCTGATCATCCATGAATGCTTTCTTCCCTGAATCTCCGCTGCCGGAAAACCATCTCAGCCGGCCTCGGTTGCCGGATTCCGATGAGGAACTCACCAGAGAAGGCTTAATTCCTGCCACAATCTTGTTTTTCATGTAGCACATTGTTCTCTCTTTATGAGTGTAGCCCTTGTACCTGTCTAATTTCCTTTTTCTGGGAAATTCTTTTAGGAGAGGGAACTAATTACTGATCTAAAACAACGCAAGATTAAAGATTGAAAAGGTCTTTTGAATCCTACTTAATTTGTATGCGCTTGTAAGTTGTTACACTTGGTTTAGTTTGGTTGCTAAAACTAAGTGGAAATGCACATGTTTTTTCTGGCTTATAAAGGCATGGAAGGCTTCAACACGTGTGGTTTTTTGTGTTTTCTTAAAAACACTTTATTATGAAGAAACCAGTGGTTTTGGTCCGCAGATTTGTTTAACCATTTTTTCTCCAAGAATATATGCCCGTGGAATTTTGAAAATTTGGAATTGTCATGTGGTAGTCATTGTTTATTTCAAATGCCTTAAAATTCTTTTATTCATGGAAAGTAGCAACAAGATTTTTCCAATAATGTACTTTAACAGATTTGTTTAATGTTTTATGGCTTTAGTATTACTAATAATAATGAATAAGACGGTTGCCTAACAATTGTTGAATTGAAAAAGTAAATCACAGTTAGGTAAATTTTAACTAAGATGTTTCAATTAAAATATTGACATTTTAGTAAATGATAAAACGAATCTCTTGAACCATCCAGGTTCGAAGCTCCTAAACTTACTGAGAGCTACTTTCCAAAATCCATTAGAAAACCAGCTGCGGTCCAAAATCTTGTTTTCTTCTTAAAAATAATGTATATCAGTTGGTCCATAAAATGTTTTTCCTTTTTTTTATTTTTTTTTTAAAATGTGTTTGTCCATAAAATTTTACAAGTTTTTAAAAAAATTTGGAAAATTAGTTTTTCAAAAAGAAAAAATCACTTTTTCAAATTTTTTAGAAAAAGTATTTTTTTTTTTCACTCACAAAACTGCAACATTTTTTTAAGTAATACGGTTGTTGAAACATTATAAATTCCAAATACTATTTTTTTAAATTTGACTCCAAATACTTTTTTTTTCTTCAAAAATTATAATTTTTTATGTCCAAATGCCTAGTAAATGCATTCCCCTTTTTCTTCACGGACAACAAGTAACTACTCCAAAAAACCACTAGCTGCAATACAGAGAGCACACAGTTAGCTAAAGAGCCATTGGTTTATCACGGTTTCACAATCTTTAGCTACTAAAGTCTCTTTCTCCTATTTACTCAACTTCTTTTCTGTGCCTATATATTCATATTTGGCCCCATATTTTCAAACATCATCTTCAAAACTATCAAATCCTAGCATTAAAAGATCAGAGAACCAAAAGCAAGGTTTCTTGTGCTCTCTGAACCAAAAGCAGAAAAAAAGAGCTTTTAGAAGAAAGAAAACTATCATGAGTTCAAGCAAGAGAGCCTGGATAATAGCAGCCAGTGTTGGAGCAGTGGAAGCTTTAAAAGATCAAGGTTTCTGTAGATGGAATTACCCTTTGAGGTCCTTTGCTCAGCACGCAAAGAATAACATGAGATCTTACTCTCAAGCTAAGAAGCTTTCTACTTCTTCTTCCTCACTGATTGCAAGGAGCGACAAGGCTAAACAATCTGAAGAATCTTTGAGAAAAGTTATGTACTTGAGCTGTTGGGGTCCCAACTGATCTTCTTTCCAGATACCTCATTTCTCATTGTTGCAGGGTATAAAGTACAAAAGATGTACTTCGGCTAAGATTGTAAATAGAGGGGGAAAGTAAATTGAAACCAGTCTTGGGATGACGAGTAAAATTAAGTACTGTTGATATTTTGAGGAAATGTGATGATCTGTCACATCAACTAGTATTTCGCATCACTTCAACATGCTTGCAAATAATACTATTTAAAAGAACGGTGGTCTTGATGTGAAACCAAGAACGAAGAAGATCTTAAAAGAGCAAGTGGAGAGTGGAGACTGAGTGAACAAGTTGCAAAAACGAGTTACTTTTATTACAGCAGTATTTAAAGAAGTACAAATTCTCAAAATGGTGCAAAGATTGCTTAGCCGTGTCCATTGCAGGTCCAACAAGTGTGCAGTTTGCGTCCTTTCCAAGTCTAGAGAGAAAATGGTGTTTCTTATAGAACCTGCCTTATGTTAAAGCACACATCTGATAGATCATAAACAACAATTTCGCCATTCAGGTTCCTCTGTATCAGCCTTACTCTCGGCTAAGCCAGATTGTCTCCCTCTGGATTGCTCATTCTAAAACCCAAATTTCATTTAACTCGGAAACGGATTCAAAAATTAAATTTAATGGCTTCAGCTTTTAAGATTTTTATCATTGAAATTACTGTAATATTAAAATTATGAGTACTAGTCTATAATACTTGTTGAGATTTTAGTAAATTTTTACATACAAATTCAAACTCCGTATCGAAAGTTAAGGTTCAGTTAAACTCGTAGCTGAAAGATTACGTCAAAACGTTTATCTAGTTACTCAATTGTATAATAAGCTACTTCGTTAAGAGGTTTGTAATTAATAACCAATCTAGTAACTCTTCGTTCCTGCTCAGCATGTTTATTAACGTAAAAATTAAGCAGTACAAGACCATTTGGACTTTAATATGTTATACTATTCAATTCTCGACGACGAATTGATTTGATAGTTCAGATATTGTTATTCATGATATTGATACGATTCAAGATCATCGAGAGGTAATATTCATTCATTGAATTTACATGCCAAAGATTTATCATCTCTATGGGATTAAATCCCGAGTTATTGCGAAGTAAAAAACCGATGAGTATGCAGTTATCTTCCCTGGCCTGACAGTAGTCAAGGGAAAATCACTTGAGCTTTTTCGCCTTTGCTCCTTCTTTCCGGAGCGCACTAAAGGAAAATCTTAGATAATTCTTAGTTGCTGTGGAAGTTAGCGTCTTACGGAAAGTAAGTGCTTGCTCCTCCTGCTCTTATAGTTAGATAAGGCACTAAAAGCATACCTAAGGTTCCGTGATTCGATTGTGTCAAAATTATTATTCTACATCATGATTATCACGGGGGGAAATGTTTATCTAGTTGCTGAATTGTATAATAAGCCTACTTCAATGGATGTGGCAATATTTTTAATATGTGGTCAGAAAGATTCTTCCTTAACCATGTTTTTTCTTAAAAAGTTTTTACGCACTATGAATTATTAACTACTATTATGACTTATACTATTATCTTTTTGTAAATTCTAATATGTGCTATTTATTTCTAAAAAATCACTAATCTGTCACACCAATAATTAAGTCTGAATATAGCCAGGTAAAAATGGGGAGCAATATATTAGAAACAAGAACTGTATCTACCACTAGTCATTACGTCAAATTTTCTACAGTGTTTCACGTCATTTTTTAAATAAGTTACCCTACAATAGAAACAATAACTTTAATTACGTGCGATTTTCTACAGTGTTTTTGCATCATGTTGTAAAGTACGTAACTCCAAACATTAACGTGGTTTCATGTTCAAATTCATTTCCCATGGTTTGGGCGCAAGTGGATTTTCTTTAATCCTAGTCAATTCATGTCCCGGAGTCCTAGATTTTCACTTATTTACATATACTTATTCAACTACGCATTAGGCCATGTAAATTTACAATGTAAGGTCATATTGTAAATTCGTCTATATTGTAAATGTCTTTTACAAAAAGTGAATGGCATATACTATTTCGTTGAATTTAATATTAATATTCCGTTTACAAAAAATCAAATATTTAATAATATTTCTGTTAATATTTACTATTAACAAATAAATTTGGTCCAAAATATTATCCGAAGCAGAGGCGAGCGAGCGACGACGGCGACGGCGCGAGGCTTGCCTTCTTCTTAACTCTTTAAGAGCTAGAAGAAGTGCAATTGTATATATACCCATCAGAACCTTTTCTTCTTCCAATATGGGACAATGTCCCTTTGTCAAGGAGGGAAACTCAAATATTTTCAATTTTCCTCAATTTCCCATTCACCCTCTTTAAGCTACATTTAAGCTTAAAAACCCAACAATCCCCCACATGAATGGGGAATGGCTATATCACGGAAATATGCATGAAAAACTGTGTGATTCGCAAGCAAAGATTAATTGCATCTGGATAAGTAGGTTTCCCTTTAAATTTTCCGTAGTGAACTTATGTCGGATATACTCGGTCAATCGGTAGATTTGATATCTTTGAACCGTCGAACATTGGTGTATACCTAGACAATCATAAGTCACACAACCAACCCTTAGCCGTCTTTGGCTCTCATTATGNTTGACAATGTTGAACGGTCATTAATGACTTTGTTTGATCTCCTTGAACCTAGATCTTGGGATCTTCAGTATTCTAGGTAGAGTTACCGCCACAATAGCTTGTTCTCGGCCATAGTCCCATTTCCCTCGATGATTTCTCAACTACCTCTCTAGTTAGGCCTTTTGTAAGTGGATCCGACACATTATCGCTTGACTTTACATAGTAAATCGTGATAATTCCTCTAGAGAGTAATTGCCTAATGGTTTTATATCTTCGTCGTATATGACGAGATTTATCGTTATACATCACACTCTCAGCCCTTCCAATTTTCGCTTGACTATCGCAATGCATGCATATTGGTGCCAATGGTTTGGGCCAAAATGGAATGTCTTCCAAGAAATTTCAGAGCCATTCAGCTTCTTCACCGGCTTTATCTAAGGCTATGAACTCAGCTTCCATTGTAAAGCAGGCAATACAAGTTTGCTTGGACGACTTCCAAGATACCGCTCCTCCACCAATAGTGAATACATATCCACTTGTTGGACTTAGAATCAGTTGAACCGGTGATCCAATTTGCATCACTGTATCCCTCAATCACCGCAGGATATTTACTGTAGTGCAAAGTAAAGTCCTGGGTATGTTCTAAATATCCCAAAACTCGTTTCATTGCCATCCAATGAGATTGACCCAGATTGCTCGTGTATAGACTCAATTTACTTATAGCACAAGCTATATCTGGTCGTGTATAATTCATGATATACATTAAGCATCCCAACATACGAGCATAATCCAATTGTGATATGCTTTGGCCTTTGTTCTTTGCTAATGCAAGATTTACGTCAATTGGAGTCTTTGCAACTTTAAACCCTAAGTGCTTTAATTTTCCAAGTACTGTCTTAATATAATGAGATTGTCACAATGCCATACCTTGAGGAGTCTTATTGATCTTTATCCCCAGAATTAAATCAACAACTCCCAAATCCTTCATATCAAACTTGCTAGTTAGCATACGCTTAGTCGCATTTATGTTGGCAATGTCATTACCCATTATCAGCATATCATCCACATATAAGCAAACAATGACTATGTAATTTAAAACATTTTTAATGTACACACATTTATCACATTCATTTATCTTAAAACCATATGACAACATTGTTTGGTCAAATTTTGCATGCCATTATTTGGGTGCTTGTTTTAGTCCGCAAAGGGACTTAACAAGTCTATATACCTTCTTTTCTTTACCTGGAACCACAAACCCTTCAGGTTGTTCCATATAGATTTCTTCCTCCAAATCTCCATTGAAGAAGGCCGTCTTAACGTCCATTTGATGAATTTCAAGACCATAAACTGCAGCTAATGCTACTAACATTCGTATGGACGTAATTCTTATAACTGGAGAGTATGTATCAAAATAATCAAGATCTTTTGTACCCTTTGACAATAAGTCTTTCCTTATATTTATCAATAGTTCCATCACCTTTCATTTTCCTCTTAAAAATCCATTTAGAACCCAAAGGTTTATTTCCAGGAGGAAGATCAACCAATTCCCATGTATGGTTGTTCAATATGAATTGTATTTCACTATTGACTGCCTCTTTCCAAAATAATGATTCCAAAAAAGACATAGCTTCTTTAAATATTCGAGGCTAATTTTCTAATAAGAAAGTCACAAAATCCGGTCCAAATGAAGTAGACGTTCTTTGACGTTTACTACGTCTTGGATCCTCCTGATTAAATGTACTTTCTTTTGTTTCTTCATGAGGTCGTTTAGATCCTTCACCAATCGACTCACATTCTTTTTTATACGCATATATATTTTCAAAGAACTTAGCATTATCTGATTCTATAACCGTATTATTATGGCGAGTGGCTCTAGAATCAATCCACCACTCCTTAGGATTTCCCACCACGTTGCATTCAGAAAGCATAGCACACAAGTCATCGATATCTTCGTGCTTTTCAACCATGTTTGCTTGACCCTTCTTCTTGTCTTTCTTTGGAGCACGACAATCTGCAGATTTATTTTCAGCTTTTCCACAGTTGTAGCAATTTCCGTTGAACTGCTTCTTGTTTGGGTTGTTTTTCGGTCCATAAGCCTTATTCCTCTTTCCATCCTCAACAATGTTTGCTCCCATTATTGTTGAGTGTCCACGGCCTTTCTTTTCAGCAGCTTTGTTGTCCTCTTCGATTCTCAATCGAACAATGAGATCTTCAAGGGACATCTCCTTGCGTTTGTGTTTTAAGTAGTTTTTTAAATCCTTCCACAAAGGAGGCAACTTCTCAATCATTGCTACAACTTGGAATGATTCATTGATGACAAGACCTTCAGTGAAAATTCTATTAGTAGAAACAATATAATTAATACTTTTAACATTAGTATTAATTTGACTTATACCTTCAGCAAGGAGATCGTGAATAATCACTTGCAATTCCTGGAATTGGGTAATAACAGACTTGCTATCTACCATTTTATAGTCCAAAACTTTAGCGGTAACAAATTCCTTTCAAGGCATGGGTAACAAATTTCTTTCGAATTTATGTTAATACACACTCGGGGACAAAATACATTCAGTTATTTTTAATTTCAATTCGGCTACAGTTTGGTTGTTTAGTTTTAAAATTTTCTCTTTGGCAAAGCCTATATGCCTCGCCATCTTTAAAATATAATGGATTTACATTGCATCTTCTTCTATAGCTAATATGCAATAGTCATATCTGGTACTTTATTTAAATTCATTCATCTTCTCATGTAATTATGTGAATTCCTCGCTTGACAAATGTTACGATAAAAATCGGTATTAAGAGGTGGGTGAATGAGGAAGCGATATATGTATGCAAACCTCAAGATATGACCGTTATAAAACATTACAGAAGACTCCAAGATTTCACAGACTTTTATTAGCTTTTATTATAAAATTAATTGTGATAATTAAGAGGGCATGAATTGTAAACATACACCTCATAGCTCTAATATAAATAAAGGCTTTCATTTTATTTGTGAGACATCAATAAATATTGATAGCAAAAGACTAACATTTTTTTTCTCAAGTTTTATA